CCACAGCAAAGAGACCTTCAGCACTAATTGCTGCTAATTAGCTGCTGTGGATACACCTCGAGAGAGCAATACTCCAACAGGTGAACGGGAACACTTGGGGGAAGCTTTCAGTGAATTAAACACTCAAAATAATGGATAAACACTAATAATAATGAAATAAGCACTAATAATAGTGAATTACACACTACAATAGTGAATAAGCACTACAATAATAATGAATTAAGCACTACAAATAATGAATTAAACACTACAAATGATGAATTAAGCACGAATAATATGAAATCTAACAGTAAGGATGCAAAAGAGGCTGAGTTATTGTGCCTGGGGGAGCTGATTTCTCCCCAAAACACATCCTGGCTTCAGCCCCCAGCTCCATCCAGGCCCTGCACCTTTCCCTAATTCCAGGCACTGCTCCTGGCTGCACTTTGGACCCTGGCTGAGCTTTTCCTGAGGGATAAGCAGCCCTAATGCAGATTAAATGAAATTCCAGCACACACAAACCAGCGGGGTAAATATCAAACCACGGCCTGATGTCAGGGCCCAGGAATCCCAAAGGCTCCAGAATGAAAATAGAACAGGGACAGCAAACCCAGGGGCTTGAAGATATTCCAGGAGAGGATGCAGGGACAAAGAGAAAAGTTTGGGGCACTCTGAGATGGGTTTTCCTTGTGCCACTGCTGTCAGTCCTGGAAAACCCAGCCCATGTCACATGAGTAAGATTTACAAAATAAGCTAAGCAAGAATTAATGTTCAGCTTTCCTCCTTATTTAATTTCTGGCTGTTACCTGTTTGCTGCTATCACGTGGGGACAATATTTGGAGAGACCAATGTCCAAGGGTGTCCCCAACAGGGATTCTTGGTATTGCTAAGAAACCCTTAAAAAAACCTCACATAAAATTGCCAAGAGTTTCATTACAGTAGCACAGTCCTTTAGGAACACAACCTTTGTTCTTGCTTTTTTTTTTTTTTTAACCAAATAATTAACTCAACCACTGCTTCCAACATTCCCCTGTGATCCCAACACGTAGTAAATCCATGTAATTGCTTTTTCCTGGTCAAGGAAGGCCCTTCCAGGCTTCCAGAGGCACCTACCTGGAAGGCAGCAAACCACATGAGCCAGTCGAGGCGGTAGTGGTAGGGGGAGATGAGGCAGGGCCTCCTCCTCAGGTCCCCAGGCTTGCACTTGAACTCAAACTCCTCCCAGACTGCTGTGGGGTCATTGGGGTCCAGGCTGGATGTTCCCTGAAGGATCACCTCTGTCCTCTCCTTGGTGATGCTGTGGGGTACAGCAGGATGTTGTTATTTGGCTCAGATCGTGGAAAATTATCATAAAATACAGAAAGGTTTGGGTGGGAAAAGCCCATCCAGTTCCAACCCCAACACTTTCTACTGTTCCAGGCTGCTCCAAGCCTGTCCAGCCTGGCCTTGGGCACTGCCAGGGATGGGAATCTCTGGGAATCCACGCCAGGAAGGAAGGAGAAGGATTTCTCCCCAATCTCAGCTAAAAGTTCTGGTCCATGAGAGCCCACATGGAACACTGGCGTGGAGGCACAGTTGTACCCAGAGCTTCTCTGGATCCTGGGACCTTCCCCTCTGCAGCAGCAAAGCCAAATCCCATCCTCTTCCATTTACCAGCTGCAGCTGCTCCAGCCCCAGGGCCAGCTGGGCCCCATCAGGATGATTCCTGCAGGACAGGTGGGGCTGTGGCTCTGGAGCAGAGCAGCTCATGAACTGCAATCCCAGCACGGAGCACTGGGAATGGCCATGGAAACACCACCCTGGAGTCCTGGCTGGGCTGCCAGGGACACCCACCTGCCCCAGGAGCTGCTTCCCACACTGAACACAGAGCCCAGAAACCTGCCTGGCAAAGCTCTGCAGCCACAACACCCTTTGGGTTTTTTCCTACTTTGATTTTGCCTCCTCCAGCCCAAGGAACTGAAAATTTGGGAACACACAAGCTCCACCTTCCTCCCTGATGGCTCCCAGGGAGAGATGCTCCCAACCTAAGGAATGCTGAGCATCTCCTCTTATAATTGTTGCCTGCATTGAGGAGATGTGTGGATTCTCCAGCCAAGTTCCATTTTATCCCCTGGGCTGAGCTCTGAGCCATGGCCAGCTGCCCAAGGCTCAGGAACACCCTGTAAATCAGGGACACCAAATTACCAATAAAAGGCTGCTCCTACTGTGTGATCCCAAACCTGTCAGCTTTCACATCATCCCACATTCATTATAAGCTGCAATCCTCTTTTTATTGGTTTACATAGGCTGGAATTACCAACATATTACAGCAGCATTTCAGCACATGCTCTGTAGGGTCTGGTAACTGCTCAAACAGAAACCAAGGGCTGGAGAAGAAAAGGGACAACAGCCCAAAGAAAACAATCT